ACAGGCAGAAAGGACAGAAAAAGCATAGTAAAGAGGACAAGGAGAGCGAGGAGGTTAAAAAGCCCTCGAGAAATAAGAATACGAAGAAATACGAGAAGAAAAATAATGATAAGAGAGACAAGGATGATGGAGATAAGAAAGAGGTAAAAAGAGGCAACGGAGCAAAGAACGATAAAGTTGAGGATAATGGCAAGAGAAATAGGAAATCCAAGAAAGACCAAAACATGAAATATAGTAAAGGCGAGAAGCGAAGGGGAGATCAAAACAAGGATAGGAAAAATATGAACAAGGATGAGAAAAATCAAAACAAGGATAGAAAAAGTCAAAAGAAGGATAAGAAAAATATGAACAAGGATGAGAAAAATCAAAACAAGGATAGAAAGAGTCAAAAGAAGGATAAGAAAAATATGAACAAAGATGAGAAAAAACAAAACAAGGATGATAAAAATGAAAACAAGGACAGAAAAAATCAAAACAAGGATAGAAAAAATATGAGCAAGGATAGGAGAAATCAAAACAAACTAAAGAAAGTAAGCGAAGAGATTCGAGGAAAGGACGCCAAAGAGGAAAAGAAACCTGAAAAGAATGTCATTAAGAACCGAAACCTTAATGAAAAGAATCCTGGGAAGTCCCCCCGACAACCAAGTGTTTCGCAGAAAATGGAACTCGGCTTAAGGAACACGGGGAATATTGGTGAGTTAATTTCTTAATTCCTTCGTCTTCGTTATTTATATTACATAACGATCGAGTAAATAAATAGTTGTAATGATTCATCTTTTGCTTTGATTCATAATTATTGCTATCACTGTCTTCGTTATTTTTATATCTACGTTTTGACATTACGATGAGTGCAAGGGATTATCTAATCGTGTTATTATCATTATCATTATGATAATTATCATCATTGTTATTATCATTACTATTACCATCATTATCAAGACACCAGAAATATCTTATCATTCTTTTTTTATTTCTTTTTGAAAATTAATTTCAATCATTATTTTTAGTTTTACTTATTAGTTTATATGTTTGTTTGTTTTTTGCCTTTTTTAATCATTTCTGTCTTTTTTATTGTCCTTAGACATGCAAGAAGTATGCGATGGGAAAATCGTCCTAGGATACGGGGAATCTATTGTTATCTTCACCGACAATAACCGCCAGCAGGAGAAATGCAAAAACAAGATTAAAGTAAGTGTTTTTCTATTCATTTCTTTTCTTTTTCATCTTCTTCTTGTCATATTCATATTCTATCTTGTCATATTCATCATTATTCTTATCATTTGTATTATCATTAATATGATCTATATTGCTGTTGTTATTGTTATTTTTATTATTATCATTATTAGTAATATCACTGTTATTATTATCATCAGGCTTATTGTTATTATCATTATTATTATTACTATCATTATCATTATCATCATCATCATTATCATTATCATCACCAGTCTTATTAACATTATTAACATTATTTTACTACAGTATTATTATTATTGTTATTATTATTATTATTATTATTATTATTATTATTATTATTATCATTATTATTATTATTATTGTTGTTGTTGTTGTTGTTGTTGTTATTATTATCATTATCATTATCATTATTATCATGATAATTTTTTGTTACTGTTTTTATGATTATCATCATTATCTTTATTATCATCATATAGATGACTGTCATCATAGTTATTATCATTATCATTATCATTATCTTTATTATTGTTGTTGTTGTTACGCTTATTATTATAATCTTTATCATTATTATTGTCATTATCATCATTATTATTATCGTTATTATCATTGATACTATTATCGTTATTTTCATTATTGTCATTATCATCATTATTATTATCATTATTATCATTGATACTATTATCGTTGTTATTATTATTATTAGCATCATTATTATTGTTATTATTATCATTAACATTTTTATTATTATCATTACTATTATTATTATCAATATTATTATTATTATTATTATTATTATCATTATTATTACTATTATTTATTATTATTATTATTATTATTATTATCATTATTTTATCATTATTATTATTAATATTATTATCATTAACATCATCATCATTGATGTCATCATTATCATTATTATTACTATCTTTATGAGTATTTTCATTAATATCATTATCATCATTGTTATCATCATTATTATGATCATCATCCTCATTACTATTATTTACATTATTATCATTACTGTTTTAACTAGCATTATCATCACCATCACTGGTCTTGTTGTTGTTGTTGTTGTTGTTTCTTGTGTTTTGATTTTTGCAATTGTTATTACTGTTATGCATGCATACCTACATGCATTTGTAGATACATAGGCAACATATATTATACAATAATGATAATAATAGTTGATGTTACTGTCGTCATCAATATTATTATTATCATAATTATCATCTTTATCATTATAATCCTTATTATCATCATTATTATTATTATCATTATTATCATTACTATCATTGATATTATC